CATAATATCTTTGTAATACTGAAGGGAATTGAATCATGTTTGGATTGAAATCCAAATTTCGTAATATCGTAGTTTACAATGGATTCCACATACTTCAAATGACGATTAGAGACTTCAAGAAATATATGATCTCATGGTTTGTAATGAGCAGGAAGAAAACAATATCAGACATCCAGAAGCCCGTATATTCAACCTAGAAAAGCCATCCGATGATAGACGAGCTCATCCAAAATATAATAGGAAACGAGCTCATATTATAAAGCATACGAAAACTTTTTTTGTTGCAGAGTATGATTATGAGGCCTGGAGAGGGTTACCGCCTTTTCTTTGGTTAATAACGGCAAATCATTGAGCTAAATTACCCAGCAGTCGACTCTGTAGTTAGCTGTTGAATACTAGCTAGTTTCCCAAAGTTCTCATTAACGTTAAATGTAATTGGATTGCATCGTTTTACTTCACTATAATTTTCACCATCAAAAACTCCTAGGTTTTTGTCCAGAGATTTTTTAACGGACTCTAATCAAGAAACCACAATTGGCAGCAGGCAATGTTGGGCTGTTTCTCTGGCATTAATTACGAAACCGCAGACACTATCTAACCGGCATCAAATCAATTTTTCTTCAATTCAATGAATAATAATCATGTTTTATTGTGGTTTACATAAATCTCGGTTTGTAATGAGTTGCCGCTGGCCCCTATACCTTGGTATTGAACAGTTACGTTACGTCAATAAGATACGTCTCCATTTCTAGGACTCTAATTTGCTACGGAGAAAATGCTGGTAGATTTATGAGTTTGACACAAAAAAAAACCGTAGCCCCGATTCGTATTAGACATAATTATCCAGTTCTTATTATTTGATATGTGTACTCAATTTAAGCAAAAATACATGTATGTTAATATACATTATAATCAGAGTTGCGATTAATAATTATAAAGCCTGTGTACGATAAAACTATTAATAATTAATGCATTTAATTGTGCAAATAATTGTTTTCATTTAGCATACGTGTAAAGTGTTTAATTTTCGGATACCGTTATGAATTTTATTCTACAATATAATAATGTAAACTGTTGTTTTATGGCTATTATGATATTCAATCTAACGGAAATTTCACATGAAAGTGGCGTTTTAACACGCTTCGATTTGATCTCAGATTGTTCTGAAAACACCTCTGGCTGTCTCTAATAAAATGACTGTACTTGAAGGATCGAGCGGGCGATCTGAAACGCCATGACATTGTAACAATCTAATCTGTGGTCTATAAATTTTGATAAGATTTGGTCTCGCTCATTAAAACGTAAATCCGCATTCACATCAGCTTGTGGGATTGTAGGCCAACTTGCACAACGAAGTTAACGGCGAAAATGTCATATATGAAAATATCAAATTTAATTTCACTCTATAATTCAATGTCCCCCATGAAATGGAAGGCTGGGACCGGCGTCCCCTATGCCCTCCTCCCTGTACACCACCGATAAGCTATCTTCCCCTGGGCCCATTTCCTAATTCCTTCACATGAAAACAGACTATTTCTAGCAGCAGATAAGCTTTTTTGTGTAAATAATGTATGAGAGAGAGAGAGAGAGAGAGAGAGAGAGAGGGGGGGGGGGAGAGACTATTTCCAGGAGCAGGTCCAACTCTTATATTCCCAAAGACTTTTTTGTGCAAATAATGTATGAGAGAGAGAGAGAGAGAGAGAGAGAGAGAGAGAGATGGGGTTTAACGTCCGCTCGACACAAACTAGGTCATTTCGGGACTAACATATGGTTCAATTTTATTTCAATATTTCGCTTGCGCGTAGGGGTCTTTAGCAGGGAGAGAAAACCGGAGGACCCGGAGAAAACCCACGAGGTTGGACAGGCGACCCTACACCTTGTCACGTACAACCGGGGAATCAAAACCACGCCAGTTGACCCAATAACAGACCTTATGATACTGCGCGCACGTGCTAACCATTCGGCCATCCAACCCCCCCATAATGTATCAGTATAAGAGCTGTAGGTTTAATAGACGTACGAAGTAAAAGATCCTGAGGGAGGTATCGAGTATTTGGTTTAGTTAATAAGCGAAGAATCGCCCATGCCTGACAACTGATGCAGCAATGGTAAATGCGCCGATTATGCTTGTTAACATTGCTTTAGGAATACGCTCCCCTTACTTGTGTAGTAGTAATGATAATTATTTCAGAAGTTGGGCAATGCTTTGTTGTAAAAGCACAGACATCATGATTCGGATTCCTGGAGACTTGCTTCCTCACCTAGGCTCCTGACCAGTTGTACGTATTTGTAAGTAAGCATTTAGACAGTTGGAAAATGTCTGGTTGTTGACTCCATAAACTGCAGCTCGTTTTGGCCTCATCTAAAAGTTGTGGTGGGTACCATGCATGAGTGATGCAGGATGGAGGCCCTGACAAGGACAGCTGTCTAGTCGTTCGGATGGGACGAAAAACCGAGGTCCCGTGCACGTAAAAGATCCCTTGGCAGTTGGAATTCGATATAAAAGTAGGCCGTAGCCCGGGCAAAATTTCCCTCATAGCACACTGTATGGCGTATGCCCGTCTTCATTAGCCCAGGTTAGGCGCAGAACAGTAGGACGTTAAACCCCATTTCATTTCATTTCACCATGCATGAGATAGTGCATGACTACTTTTGCCGGAACACTAATATGACTTGGTACTGACTCACATGTGGATGTAGGACAGCGAAGCAGATATGTTGTGGATATCATGTAACGAACTATTTTTGATTTGACCTTTTTCATTTAGTGTTGGAACGTTGTGTCTTTTCTTTTTTTAAATTTAGTTTGTTGAGAAGTTTTTCTCCAGTTCATGGGCATCAAAAAACGGCGCTACGCTGGCAAACTTCTCTCCAGTATTACATACTTAAACCATGGAATAACCAGACGATAAATTACCCCACTTCCTTTATATTGCTACGAGACATATTTCACAGAGCAAACGCGCGTTCGTTATAATCCCCCAACTGCACAGATGATGACGTCTAACATCGCCTTCCAGCAACTAGGATCATCCCTCATAAAGCATGTCAAAACGGACTACCATTATCACCAACATATTGTAAGGGTGTATTCATTTAGTGAGACAATCACTCGATAAATATCTTATTTAAGTAAATAACTCATAAAAAGAGGCTTTAACATAGTCCGACCCAAACTGATTCGAGAACTAAAGACTTAGGGGAATACGAGATTGAGAAGCGAAATGTAATCTGCCTGCTCTTCTCCCTTGTCATAATATTATGAATAAAAGATGAGCCGTAATATTTATGGATATGGGCGAAGCTGCAAGACGTTCTTTTGCCAATACGTAACACGGCGATCGTAAAAACCACACATGCCAAGCGATAGGCGTCATAAAAAATTCAGATTGTTCCAATACAATGGTGTCGTAGTTTATTCATGTAGGGTCTAGTGTTTCACGATAATGGTGTATGATAGTGTGTTATTTTGTGGTCATCTTACTATCAAGTTTGTCGAGTGGAATTGAAAAGTTGTCACGTTTTGTCGGAAAGCAAGCCATTACCATCTCCACAAACAGCATGTGGTAAAAGAAAATAAATTATTGTATAAATAAAGTAATCATCATCGTGAATCAGTTAATGAAAGGAACAACAGCTTTAGATATGAACTACAATATGATCGAGTGTAGATTTTGTCACGATAACTCAAGCGATCTTATGCGTTCTTTTATATCTGCCAATATATTAACCCAAAATCCCACAACATTCCCTTCAGCTGTGTAAAATCCTTCATTAACCACATCAATATTTTAATATGCGGGGGAAAGTAGGCCAAAGTGGCCCTGTAGCACACTGCACAGTGTATGTTCGTCAACATTAGGCCGGATGGCGCAGAAAAGTAGGACGTTAAACCCAATTTCATTTCATATGCAGGGACCAAAACTTTTATTCTATGTGGGCCGCCACAAATTAAATACAAATCCATACACTTGAAACCAAGCTGTAAATTAATGATGGGGGGGGGGGGCAAAAATATTGATTGGACTGATACCGATCTGGGTTTAGTTTAAACGCCGAACTTCAATTAGTACGTCTAACAAGAGACTGTAATGTTTGAAAACGATATGCACTTGAATATTCTGCTATTTCTAGGATTTTCGTGAAGATATGACCCGTAGTTATAAGATATACAAACTATACGAGTAGACCTGAAGCATACACATTATAATTTTTGTATTCCTGCATGGGAGTATTGTGATAAAGGCTATAAAAATATTCAAACCGAGTGTTTATTTTTAGATAATATATCTATATTATTATCTATGTGTGATACTTTAAGTTGAGTGATGGTTTTACTGTATAATTTAAATCCACTTTAAACTTTTCGTTGAGTTTTTAAATAATAGGCAAGTGTGGAGATCGAGGCAGGCAAACCATTAAATCTATTTTATATGTTTTGAGTGAAAAGGGGTTATTAATATTCATCAAAGTTATGATTAAATCTGACATAATCTATGACGTTAGGGTGCTATAGGGCGAACAGGTGTTACAGCCAACCAGGTAATTATCTACATATGTATGATAAGTAGCTAAATACACGGCAATAAGTAACGACCCCTTATTTATTAGTCTTACAGCTTTTTACTTATAGTACATATATATGGTGGTAAGACCATAAGACACCATTAGACGTTGACCCAGACATGCTAAGGTCACGGTATACACATACTTACCATATACCTGCTGACCTACTTACTAATGTCTATATAAACCATACAGACGTTCTGTATCTTCTTATTATGTTTGTTCAGTCAATGGTATCCATAGTCTCTTGTTTACTAGTATTCCACGTGACAAAGTAATAATGAGCAATATACAGGGTTAGAGGTGTCCACTTCTAACATATATGGTATGGTCAATGAGCCGTTTTATCGACTCTTGTCTACCCTTTGATCCAACTCTCCAACACTAACCTACCATTACCATTCCTGTTTTGTAAGTAAATAAAACCAAGATCGTCGCATTTCTTTATGGTTTTTTTTCCAAAAAAATAAAAGTCATAAAGACATAAGATTTTGTAAAGGTTATTTGAGCAACATATACACTATTAGTATCACAGTAAATTAGTATTAGGTGTCCTAAGAAAAATGATTTTATGAATCACACATTATGCTAGCTACTCAATTTTCTTTGTAATGGTTTGCGTGGATGTGTCATTCTGTTATAATTTGCCGACAATGATTTCTTTCGAACATTGTTATTTTGACATTTATGGAGATCACCGGAAAATTTTAAGGTTTCGTTATCAGAGGAAGGAAATATCAAGCGGGTGTCAGAAGCTTGCGTCGAGACTTTGCTGTCAGATCCTCCACTAAAATCTGCACCTATTTTACCGAGCAGAAGTGTGGTGTCGCCCCGTCGACGCCATGATGAAGCACTAGAAAAGACGGGTTTGAACGTTCGATGTTCGGCAGTCAGGGCTGGTGCTGGAGAAATGTTTCTTCTGGCTGGTGGTGATGCAACAGGGAAACACCACCCATCATCCAACGGGGCCTTTCTGTTATCTCTGGTGACGTTTGAGTCATTAGGTCCTGGAACTGTCCGCTGTCTATGAATTTTCGGAGGTTTTCTTGTAAGAATGTTAGAATTTGGTTTAGAACGGGGTAACTGAAACATTAAGAAAAGGATTAGTCAAATAAAGGGCAATGAACCTTAATCCAAGGAAGAAATAAACATTTTATTTACTTCAAGAAAGTTTCTTCTTCCAGATCAATTGCACTTTTGGAAAAATATATCAACAATCGCTGTTGCAGAATATAGGGTGTCCAAAACGATTTCATTAGTAGTTAAGTACATATGTTCATTTTACAATCTGGAAGATACACTTTAAAATCGCTTAATTCCTCGACTAAATCTTCAAACATATTTCTGTGCGTTAATTTAAATGTTTCTCTTAGTGGATGTTGAATATGGTATCTGTTCACCTGTAATTCCCTGATAACAACTTTACTCGTATAAAAACACAGTCCCGTTTTAATTTATCTTGTAACTGTTTGTAAACAGATAGTTTAAGATAAGAATAGGAAGCAATACCCATGTGGTGCCATATAACTGATAGAGAGTTAATCACACCTAAGAGATAACATTATCGCTTCCATACACTAGATTAACACTTGGACGATTAGCTTTAATCCCTGCTGTTTTTAATACTTGTTTGTTCAGTGGCAAACCAAGAGAACTTCCGTCGCTTAATAAAACTTCAATTACATAAACGGCTTTTAGGAAATCAAACGAGATTATTGAATTCCCTTCTGTGTTAATCACTTAAAGGCCGGTCTTGCATCGCGTGTGTTAATTACACGACAGCCACCGACTACTGTCATTATACCTGTGTCATGATTGTAATTTTCATGTCAATCAAAAGTTTAATGGTGCATGGAATGTATTTTTTCTTGCATGGTCAACTTATAGTGAGATGTAGTAGAAAATATGAATATAAAGAGTTAATAATTCTTTTCCATGAATGATTATCAATGAAGCCATTGTTCTAGAAATAACTGTGAACATCTCCCTTTTCCTTAATCAATTTCAGTTATCTATCCAAGACCCACATCAAGCAGGAAAATTGATATCAAATATCTTGTAAAAGTTACTGAACCATGGTCAGTGTTACACATTTTAAAAACAAACTGGTTAGAATACTTACATTTACAATATTAATATCCTGCTCTGATTTTAAATGTCTAGGTAGAATGGAACTAAGAAGATTATCTAACTCTTTTCGGTTCTCATTGGTAATACTGGAGGCAGATTGACTGTACTTTGGTTGAAGGAGGCGGTTAACAGATCTCTTCACATGAATGTCCTCAACATCCATAATATTGAGTTCTCTGGGTGAAACTATGGATTTTTCTCTATAAAATGTATAACTTGTTGTTAGTTTTTCAGGTGTTTTTTGTGGGATAAAATCCATTGAGATCTTTGTCTTTGGTTTGTTTTTAGGTAAAACATCATCAGCAATGTGAGGTGTTGACTGCAAAACTATATCAGCTGTGACAGTTGATTGAGATGCCCCTGGTAGCAAAACATTTGATGACTTTTCTTTATTAATTTTTTTTCCGATATATGTACCACTATTATTATTTTGTTCAGGTGCTAATATATTTTCAAACAATTGTTTATGAGTTTGTATTTGTGTATCTTTGGTACTACTGCATAATATCTGTTCTTGTTTAAGTTTTACAGTATTATGGGAATGGTCTATCTTGTTCTCTCTTTTGACATTGGGCATTGAAGGAGAATTAATAACATGATCTGTTGTCTGAGCATGAACATTTCTGGAATTGCTGGAACCTGGCAGTAAGGACTGTCTGTTACTGACTCTGGCATTGGTTTTATTTGAATTCCTGAAACTATTGTTTTTTCTCTGACTAACAGATTTTAAAGATGGGTTTGGATTTGGGTCAAGATGTCTGGTATCTAAATTCTGTGATCTTTGATCTTTGGAAATATTTTTAGATATCACTTTCTCTGAATGAACTGGTTCATGCGAACTGGCACTGTTGTTCAACGATAGCTGATTCACTTCGTAAGGTGGTGGCTTGTGGTTATTAGGTAGGGAACTATTTCTTGGAGTACTCTGTTCCACCACACATTTATCTAAAAATAAATTTTAAATAAAATATTTAAATTTTCATAAAAATGAACAAAGATAGGTTGCCAAGCCAGAAAATGTAAGCCAATAGCATACAATGCAATATCTTTATTCTGTTTAACATCATAAATGTGTTGACAAGATTCTATGACATTATCAGAATATGTTATTCATCATTATAAATCATATGATGACTTTTGCTAGTGTTCACAAGTTTCTACAATGTAGGAAAGGGACAAAACTCTAGAAGTAATTTCCAAAATTAGATCAAGTTTGATATGGTTTTTCGTTTCATTACCCTTACCAATGTAATTTCAAGCACATCGCCTGTTAATCTTTGTTGCTAGAGTATTCACAAAATCTTACAAAGAAAACAAGGACCATAACTCAAGTAGCAGTAAATAGAAAATGTTAAAATTCAACAGGCAGTTTCGTCTCACTTCTTTGAACACTGCATATAAATTTTAAACTTGAACGTTCACAATTTACAAGATTTGACCAAGTGAGCAAAGGCAATAACTTGAAGTAATTAGTTGAAATTGTTGAAATTCAATATGGTTCCTAATTCTCACTAATCTGGACAATGCTTATGAATTTTAATCTGATCGGATGATGATTTTCCAAAAATCCCTGAAATTGAATAGCATTCTTCATCTCATTAATCTCATATATAGATTTTAAAGATAGGTTGCCAGGTAACGAAACATAGGCCCACAGCAGCTAAGTCGTCCGAGAAGTCAACAAGAGTTGTCGCATATTTTTTCAATTGTCGGTAATGAAACATTTATAATACACTAAAATATGATTAAGAGTAACAACTCATTATGTAATTATCAGAAAATCATTAGAATTTGTTTAGCTTTTAGTTCTGCCCCATGCTAACGTTTAGTATACGAAACATTTAATATCATGGATTTAGCTGTTCATGTTATCAAAATTCGTTGAAAATCAATATACTTGTTCGTCTCAAGACCTTAAACTCTGTTTATCAATCTAAAGTCAATCAGATGATAACTTTGGTCTCTAGAGCATCCACAAAGATTTTTCAAAGAGATCAAGGGCCATAACTCTGGCAGTAATTATCGGAAATCGTTGAAAATCAATAGGCTTCTTCGCCTCATGACCCTAAACACTGTGTATAAATCTAAAGTCAACTGGATATTAACTTTAGCCTCTAGAGCACCCATAATATTTTCCAAAATGATTAAGGGCCAAAACTCTGGCAGTAATTATTGGATATCGTTGAAAATAAATAGGCTTCTTCGTCTCATAATCTTAAACACTGTATAAATTTAAAGTCAATCCGATATTAACTTTAGCCTCTAGAGCGTGCACAAGATTTTTCAAAGTGATCAAGGGCCATAACTCTGGCAGTAATTATCGGATATCGTTGAAAATATATAGGCTTCTTCGTCTCATGACCTTAAACATTGTATAAATTTACAGTAAATCGGGTATTAACTTTAACCTCTGGACGCCAATATACGACCACATTTCAATGTGGGCATATAAAAAAGCTGGATCATAAATTTAATGGAATCTTCAGATCGTTCACAAGACTTTTCAAAGTGATCAAGGCCTATAACTCTGGCAGTAATTATCAGCTCATGGCCTTAAACACTGTATAAATTTAAAGTCAATCGGATATTAAATTTAGCCTCTAGAGTGTCCACACTTGTGGACGCTGGACGGACAGACAGGGGCAACCACAATATACGACCACATTTCAATGTGGGCATATAAAAAAGCCGGATCATAAATTTAATGGAGTCTTCAGATCGTTCACAAGAAATTGTGGATGGACAGTGAGGATAGCAACATGTGACCTCATTTCAATGTTAGTGTATAAAATTCGTACATTTTTAAAATAAAAGTGCTGACATCATTTTCACACTTGCAAAGACAAAAAAATTATAGGAACACAATAAATGTGCAAAACATAAATGTCTCATTAAATTGATGTCTGCAACAAATGAAATGTAATATATACAGTATATATACCCCAATCCATTCTAGCTAGCAAAATTTGAAATAAAAGCCCTATTTATAATACAAGACATTTATGTCACTATCTTTAAAACCATATATAAATAGTAAATGCCGGAGATCCACACAACACAAAAACCAAACAGAGAATCAGAATACAAACCACACACATAACATACGGTAATTGTAAGTACAGTTGGTGATATTTCAATATGGCGGCCAATTTAAGGAAAGTTCTAATTTATATTTAGTTTTTTTATGCAACCATTTACTGGGATATCCTCTGTGATATGTCATTTATAGGGTTTATATAGTTCATTTCCGATGAGAAAGTTAACTTTTAATAATCCAAGATGGCAGAAATTCAAGATGTCTACCAAATGACATCACAATCAAATACCTGTATGTATTTAATTTGATTCTGATATGTTCCAATATATACTTCATAGGGATTGTTGGGGCATAAAGTTGTACAAAAAATGACCTGCTATAGGCCTATTGTAAGGAATGTCAATCTTGGTATGTTAAAGAATAATAATCTTTATACTTTTAAAAAAAACCAACGTATTTGTGTAAAGTTAGTTAATAAATGAAATAAAGACAGAAGCCATCTATTATATACTACAGGATAGATATAAATATGTCACAACCTGCAGGTGTTCATATCTTTTAAATAATCCTATTACTTTCATTCCGTATATTTAACATAAATTATAATACACCATTACTTGATTAAAGAACCAGACTTCTGTTTAAAATAACTAGCTGATTTTTGATTGTGTTTATCCTTATGATGACAAGTTTAAACCATACTACCCTACTCCCACCCCTTGCAAAAAACCCATCATAAATCAGTTTCCTTTCTAATGTGATTATAAGATATTATGCAAAGTATTTGAAAATAAAATTAATTAAGCTTATCATATTTTTACAATTTAACAAAAATATGTTCCTTAGATAGTAATCTAGATTGTTAAATAAAAAGAAACATTGATGTTCACAGATTGAAAAATGTTATTCTGAGGAGCTGGCTCATGTTCTAAGACAGAAAATGATGACACCATCAAATAAATCAATAGAAAGTAAAGGTAACTGTTAATAATTTTTGGGACCAGGCAACATGCCTTTTTATAAGGCTACATATTGATGTATATGAAATGAAAGTCTATATTTGTCTTTTAATCTGGAATATGGTGCCTTTAATTATAATGAAACTAGAAATTAAAAGGTCACAAACTGCTGTCAAAAGGTTTTAGAAGTAAAAGAGTATAGGGTATAAATGCATGCTTTTTTAAGGCATGAAAGAATGTCAAGTCAGTCAAGACGCATGTAATATGCTAATTTATATAACCTCATGCTAAGTTTAATTTATCACTGCCTATAAAACCACCATTATAACTTAAAAATAGATGTAAAATTAAAACATTTAAAAAGCAGGGTACGCCCAGCTTAATAAACCTGCCATATATATGTAGGTACTGACAAGACACAAATATACAAAACATCACTGACCCATAAAACATAGATTCATTTAAGATACCAAAACTTAGATCATTAATTTTTATAAATAAACAAACAGATCATCTCTTGGGTTTTAACAACGAATTGTTAGCTGAGTTATATCCTATTGAAAGCATACCATGGCTTATGTAAAACACCTATCATCATTTTTACTTAGTAGGCAATGACCTAATATTATATGGCAGGTCAACATATTTTTATTATCCAGTAAGATCAAGAATGTTCAATATTTGCAGTATGTTATGAGAGAAAGGAATGAAGTTTTAACGTCTTGTCAATACAAAACTTTTGTTATCTTGTGACTAACATGTGAATTTCTGTCCCATGCAAATGGTTAGGCAACACTTTACTTGTTAGACCTACAGATACCCTTGACAAGTAGGAAACAGGATTGACAAATCCCAATATTCCTCATGACCCCCAACTAGTCCTGATCCCTTACCACTCGACTACTGCAGTCCCATACACTGTATTTTATGTCTATCAGTGGTCATAAGGCCTGTCACTGAGTCAAGTGTTGTGGTTTTGATACGACTGCTAAAACCTGAGTATGATGGCATTCCTAACCACTGCTAAAACCTGAGTATGACTGCGTTCTTAACCACTACTAAAACTTGAGTATGATGGCATTCATAACCACTGCTAAAACCTGAGTATGATGGCATTCATAACCACTGCTAAACCCTGAGTATGATGGCGTTCCTAACCACTGCTTAAACCTGAGTATGATGGCGTTCCTGTGACAGCTTAAACCTGAGTATAATGGCATTCCTAACCACTGCTTCAACCCAGATGCGCAAGCAAATTATTGAAATAAAGAATTACTGTATGTTAGTCACAAAATCTCTCTTCTCTATCTGAAAGTAATATTTCTTGTTTAATTTTTAAATGTACTTACTTATTAAATGACTATCTGTTGATGATGCATAAAATTCACCAATTGTTTGTTTAGTGTATTGTCTTTTAGGTGGTCTAGGCTGCAGAAAAGTAACTGGAGGTATCTGGTTGAAGTTTTCCACATTAGCCTTTTCTTTACTAATCAAAACATTATCAAATTTATTCTGAAACAATTAATTTAATTATTTACCAGCAAAAGGAAATCAGTTTCTAAAAAATAATTTAATTCCGATGTAAATTTTTTACATTTATCTCAAAATCTGCTACGTGTTCAGTACAAAATTATGTCTCAATCAATATTACCATTGATCATAATTCAGTCATGTCAATTTTTTAAATATAACATGAAAAAATCAAGGTACATTCATATTCAATGTCATATAGGTAATGTCAAAATGATGTTATTAGAATTGTGCATTGTGAAAGTTTTTCAATGGGGCATTTTTTTATGACTCATAAACTGAGTTACTGTAATAGCTAAACTGTCCCTGTAGATTTCGTCCAAAACCAGTTACAAAACTGAACTGTCTATAATCATAGTAAATGTCATTTCATGTTTATTTCAAATTAGATTCATCAAAGAGAATCTGTCTGATCCAATTTATTCATTATCATTGAGTGGGCCGCCTTTGAAGGTTTTAGGTTTACACATAGTTTCAAATATTGGTGCAACCCGAGAATGGAAAAAAATACTATCGCATGGAATATGTGTCTATTGGGAACTTCCAACTTAGTTTCAATTCAATGAATTTTTTCATAATATGTTTAAAAGCAGATGGGGTCTCTTTGAGCTGTGCACACAACCAGAAATAAAACCAAGCAAAAAACATCTAATATATCTAAAAGCTTCATGTTTGACAGAGTTATCTTTCAACAAATTAATTTCTCATTAATAAGTATTGATTGTTTATGATTGTCCACAAATATTAATTTTCTTCTGCTGACTTGAATTTTATCTATTAACATACAAATTATTCTCAAATCATTAATTTTAACAACAAAATCATATAATTATTGTTATTGTTACAAAATTGTATAATTTCAAATGATTAAAATCAAAAATGTTCCCCAATTCCTGGGACAACATCTAATATTTAATGGCTTAATCCACGCTGAAATGTAATTCCAATTGATTATTTAGCATTTAATTAAGAAAAACAAAACCAAAATCAGCCGTGGTATAGATATTCTCAAGGCTTGGATTCAATCTAATTAAAAATATTTTGGCAAAGATTATAGATGGCTCTGGCTTGTTTTGATCATATTTAATTTATATCATCTGCAGAATGTTGACAGATATTAAATTGATCATTGTTTTGTAAATACTGAATGGAATTGAACCATTCTTGGACTGATATTCCTTTTAGAGATTCAACTTTGACAATATTGTAGTTTGAAAGGGATTCCTATATCCTCAAACGATGATCAGAGACTTTAACTAACATTCAATATTAAATTTATTACAGTAATTAATTAATCGATAAAATGTTTAATATCAAATTTATCCAAAATATTGGGTTGTTTTTTTCTCATAGTAGCTCGTTTCTAAGTAATCAAGTATTTATTTATGCATTAGTCAAGACTGTTATAATCACTTATATTATTTCATCATAGACTGTAATACTTTTAACATTTACCATGTCCTCTGTGCATTATGTTATCATTCACTATGTGTTATTTTATAATTTACTTTAAGACTATTTTATAATTTAATCTATCTGTACTATTTTACTATTTAATCTGTACTATTGTATCATTCATGTTAAAAAAAAAACATGCAATCAATTTTCTATTAGCATTCAGTCCATTTAATGCTAAAACATCTCAGCATTAAAGAATGAAACTTCAATTTATTATTTAATTAATAGATACAAAGAAATCATGTGCAATTAATTATGTGCTCAATATCATATCTTAAGGATATATTCCCTTCCAATTTATGTCACATAAAATGACAATTGGATTATTAGTTTAGTATTATCAACTGAAAATTGTGTGGTTTTTTTTACTAAAGATTGTGTGTTTATATAAAATAAATTCAATGAACACCTGCGGATATTTAGATATCTTGTGTGATTGCATATTTCATATCACCCAAAGTCAAAAGTCTTACATACATATCTCCCAAAATGTTTCCATTAAAAATCCTTACTAATTTTATGAAGGTTTTTCAGAACTAAGTGTAATCCATTTTTCTTTCTTTGAAGTCTAGAATGATTGAGATACGTTGGACATATTTCAAAACGCCAGTCATTATTTTACATTCAACAAAGTCACTCATAACTTTACAGACGGTCAGACAGTTCGTCAAAGATGTTTAAATCTCTTTCTTCAAATCAAACTGACAAATCATCAATATTTATCTATGGGCCAGGTCATAGTATGGGGGAGCAATTAGCGTGAAATGTCCATCACGTACAATTATTGTTTTGGCATTACGACCTAACTTCGTTCCACAATTTGACAAATATTTCTGAGAGAGTTAAAGTGTGTATTAAATGCCTCAATAAACAAAGCCGGTCCTTGAAGGGAAAACAGCAATCGATGCATTAGAGACACTTTGGAAATATTAGTGGTTCTTTTAGAAACACTTCAATAAAATTAGGAAATCTTTTTAGCGGTTGCTTTTGGAGTAGAGACTGATTATAATTAGAACTAGTGCATATTGATCTCTATATTAATCGGCCGCAAACTAGCCATCAACACTCACAAAGAACCACAAGTACAATAAAATGTGCGTATTTATACACTATTCATACAAATTTGGAAAATATTTTAATGAAAAATAATATTTGGAAAATCTGTTGATATTTTTTTCATTTATGACCACAAAATGATACCTTTTGGATTTATCATTGTCCCTGGAAAAATATTTTTTAAGGACATATGTCAATTTTTCAAAATGAATTGTAAAAAAACAAGTTTAATGTTTGACGGTCATAAAAAAAATAAACACATGGTAACGCGAAGTTAATCCGAGTTTATCGATTACTGTTATTATTTGTATTCTTCTTGCTCAATGGGTGGTGTTAAAATAAAATATAAGAGGAGAATATGAAATTTGATTTGCTGGTCGTAAATATCCCATATAACATGTCGAGCATCACTGATCAAAACAATGTTGAAGATGAATGTAATAATTTTTTGGAAATATTTGCATTTTCACCTGTTGTTCCTGATATTTATTACTTATTGTCAATATTTACTCTATAAATAAAATTATACCCAAATAATTTGAGAAGTCTCCATATTACCAGATAACTAATAGGAACTGGCAGCAGTCAAACAAAAAGAGAAATGTGGTTTAATGTCCACTCCACACAAAATGGGTCATTTCAGGACTAACTTTATTTCATTAATTTACTGGTACGTAGGGGTCTTTAACAATAGTAGGACACCAGGGGACCCTGAGAAATTCATGAGGTTGGGCAGACAACTCTACTACATGTCACCTACAAGCTTGACTCCATGACAGACCTTATCTAAAGGGCACGTGTTAGACGACTCCCCTACCCCTATTAGTGAAACAAGGATTGGGTTGAGATCAATCAAGTAAAATATCATAATTCTTTTGCCATTTAGATATGTTGCATATGAAGTCATATTAAACAAATTTAACATAAATTCTGTAGAAAAGACATATATATGTGACTAGCTCTGGCTAATTTGAGATACAACAAAAAATGTTGAAGATTTATTTTTTATTCTTTTCTTCCTATTTTCAGTTTCCAGCATATTTGGACAATGAATGCTATGATTTACACAAACCAATTTTTGAAGATAATTGCATATGTTACAAACAAATTTAAAGGTCTCTGAATACAAAAGTTAAATGGATGCATTCTTGTGTTTCGATATTTTGACCTACATGTCTCATTTAACAGACATCATAAAATAGTGTGATGCATGATTATGCTATTACCTGGGTTGTTGCTTCGCTATTGCCATTTACTGTATGTTTTGTGACATGAGTTGTAATGTCATCATCACTGTCTCTGTCACTATCGCTTGATGTGTCACTGACACTGTCATTTATTATATGAAGATCTGTAAAATAAGTCAAAATAAATAATTATCAAAATGCACATATGGGCAAAAACATTATGATATACCTTAATATGACATTAACTGTTTAGTCTAACATCTTTTATAGTTTTATCCTAAAAAACCCTCGCATTTCTTGATCTCAATATAATCTAGATCTAAATCATACACAGGCGGGTTTATATATACACAGTCCAAAAATATAGTACAACATTTTATATATTTTGAATCTGCAGAAAAATGACCAAACATTGATGGAATATGGGTCATTCGTACATCTAGAATAAAAATGAAATTGATACAATCTTAAAAGACAATATTGGAGAAACAACCAAACATTGACAGAGGACAGGTCATTCTTATATATAATATCAAACTAAACTATATTGGTAAAATCGTAGGATTTTAAAAGGCAATATAGTAATTTTGGTCGACACAACCAAAATATGCTGCGCTTTTATGATGTAGTCCTGTGAGAGGCCAAATCTTGACCTAAGGTTAGCGTAGTTGTGTCTAGTCAGAAATTTATTTATCTTATTTTTTTACCTGGCATTCCTGTTAATGCTACAGCATGCCATCCTCCACATTTAATATCAGAGACGTGTTCTACGATATCAGTATTCATGCATGATGGTGTTAATTGTTTATAAGATGGCTTTTGACTTGGATCAACTGTATCACTATTTTTACCCCACATAAATAACTGTCCACTGCCTGAAATCCACATAATTTCAAATTAAAAATAAAAGTTTCACATTTTGTCCTTGTGGAATCTTTGTATCCATGGCAGCACCCACAGATAGGTAGAAGCATACAGACACAATCTAATTTCGCTAAATGGATTTGATTTTTTCACACACTAGAAGATTGAAAATTATTTTTTACATAAATTGTTTAAGAGACATTTTAGTAATTGGTCACATTAAAAAAACCATAAAACTTTTAAGGGAATACAATTACCGACTTTAATAGGCACAACTTAATGTAGTACAGTTTCCTCTAACAATCAATTAGCAAGGTGTTTCAATTGTATATAAGTCCATTTCCGAACTATATCCACATTGCGCTTGATAACCAAAAAATAATTATTATTGAAACGTTGCTCCTATTAAATTCTGTAATTGTATTCCATTCAAGTTTTCTTGTTTTATTTATTTTCTTTATTATTTAAAAATCAACAATTTCTGATGCTTCTTCGGCCGATCGACTCACAGAATAACCATAACAAATATCACTTTTCTGACAATATTCCTAGTAACTGTATAAAAATAATGATTCTCTCGCTTTCAGAAAGAGATTTCAACTCTTAAACAATCCAACCTTTTCCACAACAGTAATAATAATCTAGAAAGAAATGAGCTCATAAAGTAATTGTTACACACATCAAAAGAAAATGGAGAAAAACAATATGGCTGCCTGCAGCAGATGGAAAGTCTTTAGATTTTACGACCACTGATTAAGGCTCCAGACATAGTTAAAATAGCAGCAAGTTCTTGGTGATAATCAAGTGATTACTAATAGTTTTTCTTAATCAGTCATAGGAAATGAGTTTAAGCATCCTTTCATAGGATTTTCATTAGCCTTATTAGCAAAAGTTAGGAACCTTAATGATTTTGATTTGTACTTCATTAATATCGAACAAACATAAAACTAAAAAATGGCAAAAGTTACGATAATGTTAGTTTGCTGTCAAAAGACATATGTATTATACAAATGATCAGATGTAACATTTCGAAAATTAAAAATCAGTAGAATCAATTGGAGTAGGCGGCCATTAAATTTTATTATCAAGCAGAACAATTTGTCAGCCATTGTTTTCCCTTTGTTCACTTACTTGAAATGGCAGCACTAAAACTTTCTCCACAAGATATAACAGACGTGTTGTGATAAAGCTGTGGAGTTTTCAGTTTCTTTGGAAAAGGCAAAAACAGCAACTTTGGATGACCTAGCTGACCATCAGTTCCTGAACCCCATGTGTAAATATTACCATTTGCTGAAATAAACAGAGAACATTTTCAATACATTTTTGTTTTTGACTTATTTTTGTTTTTGTTTTTGACTTATTTTTGATTTATTTTTGTTTTTGACTTAAATCTGAAGATTAATTTATTACTATCAGCTTTTCAAATTTAACCTTTGATCAGCTTATAGAAGCATTTTCAGTTCCACTGAGTACAGGAGATGGTGCCTATATGCCAGGAGGTAGAAGACAAAATTCATTTTATAACAAATTGCAAAAGACATGATGAAAAAAGAAAAGAACTGTTCAGATTAATTTTATTTCATAAACCAAATTGTTATACACTGAATGATTTAAAATACTGATGATGAATAAAAATGTAGAAATATTAAAATGTTTAGGAGCTTTTGTATACAAGTCGTTCATGGCTTTGTAAAGTTGTGTATCTTTGTATAATTATGTACATGTATGTATCCTTTGTTTCATGTTTATTTCTATCATTTTTTTATTTGTATATGCACATAACTCTGTAAAGTGTTTTAATGCAATAAAGTTTCTTCTTCTATAGTGTCTGGTACAAGTGTTTGAAATAGCAAAATTTCCAAACTGTACCATTTAGGAACAATAAATGATTTTCCAAAACTCTTTAAACAGTTAGTTCCCCCTTGTCAGTGATGCAGGACAGAGGGCCTGACAAGGACAGCTGTGTAGTCCTTCGGATGAGAGGAAAAACCGAGGTCCCGTGTATACATTAGAATGCACGTAAATGATCCCTTGGCAGTTGGAATTCGATATAAGAGTAGGCGATAGTGCCGCTGTCCGGGCAAAATTTCCCTCATATCACACTTTATGGCGTATGCCCGTCTTCATTAGCCCAGCATAGGAGCAGAACAGTAGGACATTAAACCCCCATTTCATTTCATTTCATTTCTTTAAACAGTTCTTTAATGAACATATATATTTGAAACATTGTTTTTCAAAAATATCAATACCAGTTCTTTAGTATCTTTTAGCCTAAACAGAAATAGAAAAGAAACTGGTAAATCAATATGAACATAAAATTAATTAACTTTGGTAAATCTATTTAAAAATAACATTAAGAACTTTAGTAAATCTATATAAACATAACATTAATAACTTTGGTAAATCTACATAAACATATTGATTATGCCTTAAAAATTCTTATTCTGAATATTGAACCTCAGCCTCTTAGTCTAGAGGTCAAACCAATCAGATATTTAACTGATAGCATAACAGTTACATAATCTGTGGCATGATTACCTCACGTCACATTAACATACAACCCCCTAGGGTGGGGCCAAGTAAGGTCACCATTATTTACTGTGATAAATGGTCATGACATAATAAAGAGACCTTAAACAAACATTCACTGAGCATGTTTGATGTAATTGGAAGAGGAATATAAACATTTTATCATGTATTGTATGTTTGTGTTATCCTAACTGGCACCAAATAATCATTATTATTTTTTCACTGTGATTATTACAACCACAATATATCTACAGATATCTATGTGTGCTCAATGGGCTGAAATAAATGGACCAATCTTTAGTTCATAACTGTTACAATAAGACATTATGTAAGAAAACATGAGTTGTCATTCAACAAAGGACACTTGTCTCTGGACATTTCTACTTTAAAAACTCTGGAAAATGAATCCTAATGACAGATGGCAAAAGTTGTAAAAATTATAGATAAACTGGGTTAAAAAATATTTTACAAACTTTGCTTATTTAAATAATATCATACAGAAATAAGAGCTGAAAACTATTATTTACATCGGAATCAATATACAATCAGATTAAATTACACAAAAATAACGACAGAATATCTGTTGATGTCAATTGTCAATATCAGTGATACAAATAAAATATATTTCAGATCATTACAGATGCTTCAAGATAGTTCCATGAAATCATTAGAAACTATATCAAGACAGTTTCATGACATCATTAGAAACTTCAAATGGCAAGAACACTTATGATTGTTTGTGGTCAAAGCTTTTTTTGTTGTCTCTTTGAAAGTAGTATTTGTTGGTAAAATAATGTTTCAGGTTACAACTGTTGTGTCAGATTTGTATTGTGTTAATGAATTTAAACTAAATTGTGCCTCGTATTTCGTTGGTAAATTTTCCCCATATTTACTGACCCTTGTACTTTGCATTTTTAAACTGTGGATAGCCTATGGGCCCCCTAAATGACAGTGTAAATCTGAGCATTTTGTTGGTTGGGGTAATGAAGCTAAGAAATTGAATGTTATATTCGGGTCTGGATATTCACCTCAAATAACCATTGATACTGTGATTTTTCTCAATTTTCTCAGAGGAGGATTACCCCATCCCCTGGTTCGCCCTCCTAAGTTGGGGGGGGGGGACATCCTGCGTTCGCCACAGTTTTCATACCCTGAATGTCACTTTAACTGGAATTGTATAAAAAAAAGTGTTCAACATCTAGATGTAAAGTGATTAAAATAAATTGCAAAACAAGATACCTAATACTTTTTCCATTGTTCCCCTTTGTATCATCCTCTGATATTAATTATTTTCAAATTTATTAAATGTTATTTGCTGCAGATCCTGAGCTGATCACCCAATTGAAAAGGCTTCAAAACTAGGCAACATCTGTTGAATTGTGAACTTGTAACAAATTTACAAGATGTCCTGATATAACAGGACAAATGATGTAACACCATATGTGATTTGAGTAAACACTGGGCTGGTGTAATACTAGATAATACAAGGTAACTAATAATGACCAGTTCATTGTATAATTAAATCAACATTACAGGGTTACATGAGGATAAGATAATTCCTCAGGCAATTTAAGTCAACCCAATTTATCTGAATCAAATGATGGAGGTTTAACAATTTCAGATTCAAGTCTTATATTTTACCCTTTAAACCATAATAAGGTTTTTAAAGTACCTTTATACACAATATCATCCAATCTTTAAAGTCACTGATCACCATTTGAGAAATTTTTGTATCCCTTACAAATTACAATATTAGCAATATTAAGAAAGACGAATTTCTAAATGGAATTTTGGTCCAAAATTGTTCCATTCTGCTGAGTAGGACTATTTACAAATACAATATGAACTGAAGATTTTGCAATATTCAAGATTCACTGTAGATGATATAAACGCGACCTATAAATGAAATGAGATTTAATGTCCTACTTTTCTACACCAACCGGGCTAATGAAGACCAGCAAATACACCGTGTAATTTGCTATGAGGGAAATTTACCAAGATCATGGCATTTCCGCATATTCCATATTTCAAGGATTCTTTAAGTGCGGTGCACTGTGTAAACGGGACCTCGGTTTTTCATCCCATCCTAACAACCAACCACTGTTCCGTGTCAGGCCCTCCATCCTACACCACTGATAAGGGAAGATAATGCTGTAATAACTAGAGGCACTTTGTCAGCCCCCCCCCCCCTGTTAGTGAGCCAGTGGCTTGGCCAGTACCTTACTCAGTGAGGCACCTTGGCTCCCATGCCACCTGTATATGTTGCATGAAATCTTTAGACAGGATTCTTTTAAATCCAATCGAATCCAAGCTGGGTGATTACATAGTTTAATGAGAACAAGATTCACCTTCTGCTGCCTGATTAGGGTATCACTATGGATGACCCCATTCTCATTAAATCTACTACAGAATTGCATCAAATTAACAAAATATTTTATTCCAACAGTAACCTGTCATCACACTTCTTTAAGTCTTGTACAAATGTTTGTAAATGACATGTTTTAGAACTACTGACTATGTCGAACAAGATGTACTCATTATGTGCACTGACAAGTTTTAAATAAATATAACAAAAAAGCAGACGAATGTCAAAACAGGAGTTTAAAATATTTTTTCAAAGGTGTCACAGATATTTTTCTAACTCACATTTTTTTTTTCCAACCTGTTTTTTTTTTTAAAAGTCAGCATGTATTTCATTTAAGAAACAATTACCACACACATAAGGATATCCCGAAAACATTTGGAAACATTATTGGAACTAAACCTTTTTCTCTTAAATATGTCAAGTTGGCTGTCAAAGGGTCAACTGTCATACAGGTTGAATTAAGGAAATTCTACTCTAAGGCTGGCTCTAATAGAAAACTCCAGTGTCCCTTCTAAACAAGTATGGAAGCGCTAAAGAAGTGACAAGAAAAAAAGCGGAGGATATTTCATCAAAAGCAGGATAGACATAACTACAGTTAACAGTCAACATACACACGGGTCTCAAATATTCTATGCATGCGACCTAAAAATAAAAGTAAATTCATGAAAGACCCCAAATTAAACATTAAACAGAGATTTAAAGCCTCACACATACGATAGGGCTTAACATGGCAAATCCACTTAACAGCATCTTCACCTCTACCTGCTTTTGTCAATATAGATAGCTTGTCGAGATCTCCGTGTGCGCGCTTTGTCAACTATACTTTTATCAAACGAAAATGCGCTGCAAAGAACAGATCGCAAACAAACAGCGGTTGAGCACACACATGACAACGGCCATACTGCCCAAGCAAATATTTGTTTTTGAAATGAACACAAGGCATCAGATCAGAGAAAAAATGACAAACGTAAATTTCAGGTGAATAAAAGAATCACGATTCGCAAAGTATTTCTCAAGCGACCTTGTTTATTTCGTGTCTTAGGAGCATGCCTTACAATAGCTAAGTGAGTCGTATGAAGGAAAAAGGGCTGGGTATAAAACAGAAATAAACAGATCTACAATAATAATTGGGAGATTTCATTTCTTGCCAAATTTTAACACTTGTTTGTTAGTGGTGTCAGGTGACCCGTCTAATCCTCCATCTTTTCTTGTAGATAAAAGACTGTAAATAACAATCTCACGCTAATTTTCTCTCCTACTATTCTTTACAAAATACAAGCTTCGCGATAGAGGATGACATTTTTTTTTGGGGGGGGGGGGGACACTGTGTGTGTAATAAGTATAGTTAATATATTATTATAGACCTTGTAAAGGAAAATTGTTTCATCAGGAAATA